TTTTTTGGCTCATCAAGAACATTGTTCATGGCTTTGTGTGGCCTAACCTGTTGTGCCTTATATGCTATAAATGTTCAATTATGTCAGAAAATGGAGATTTGGTCTTATGCTGAGCATGTGCTACTGCTGGTGAATGGGATCAGGTTAAGCTTTGTGTTGCTGTTCTTTTGCATAACCTAAAGTAAATAAGGAAAACCAGCTGTTAAATAGTTTAATTCCACTATTTATCCTCCACACAACTAAAAGGGACCTCTCAATGCAGTGCCAAATCAGACAAACCATTTCTAACTTAATATAGGCTTGAGCTGTAGCTGGGCAGAGTTGCACAACAATCTCATCTGTCATTGAGACATTTTTATAAGCATGGGAGGAGGTGGATGAAAGGAAATGTAAAATATAGGTAGAGTGGTATAGGTCTTATCACTGGCTGATGATGGTCTATATGTACTTGACTAAAATTTTTGGTACACAGATTTATGGTACATAAACTAGAGTACACAAACCTTTAAGTCTCTCCATTTGTTAATGACAGTGGTAATGGATCTTAATGCCACTGTTGACTGCTGTTCACTTTACGTGGTTCAAATGTTATTCTATTATAGTTTATTAAATATTTTATTACACTATTTGGTTCAGAATATATTTTCCCTGTGTTCCTCCTCTAAAAATTAGGTGCGTCTTAAGGTCAGGTGCGTCTTATGGAGCAAAAAATATGGGTACTCTTAGAGCATTTATCCAAAAATTTGTAGCTTTACATGCTCTCCTCCCCCTTAGTGTTTGTGACTTACTCCTATTTTATTGGGTCCTTTAATTGAGACAAAGGCGAGATAGAAGTTAAAATGTAGAATAAATTGTTTCTGAGGAAAGACCCAGGAACTCAGGATGTTGCCTTACACCAGACCAGACCACTCATCCAGCTAATCTTAGACTACTGCTTTCCAGGATTTCAGGCAGGAATATTTATGGAACCTTCTGGGTACAAAGCAAATGGATGGTCTGTCAGTGAGCTGGGGCCCTTCACCAGGGACCAAGAGTTGGATGACTGTAGGTGACTTCCAGTTCTCTATATCCAGATGGGAGGGTTCCATTTTGATGTGAAATTCCTACCATTTTAGATTGTGATAACATTCTTTGAAATAACACTGAAGCATATTTAAAAGGGGGGGGGGAACCTGTCAGATTAACCCCCAACTGGTTTGAAATAAAAAATTTGAAGAGTTTATCTGTCATCTTTAATGTCTTGGTTTTGTGTCTTCATTTTCAAGGAACTGCTGCTTTCAGGCATGCCAGAAATCGATGTGAGTGACTGGAGAAAAAATACAGAATACACAAGTGGTTATGACAAAGATGACCCAGTTATTCAGGTAATATTTCCATGGGATGTATGTAGACAATTATGTATGCCAGAGACTTCTTCTTTTAAGCTTGAAGCAAAACTGGTTATATTTTAAGACTCTTGGACCATGGGAATGAAGCACAATAGAGTTTGAATGAAATAGAAAACAATCTCCATAAATTAAATCACATGTTCCTCTTTTAAACGTGTTCATCTTTAATTAGTATTTAATATTCACCAAAAATGCAAGCTGATTTATTTTCTGTCTAGTGGTTTTGGGAAGTTGTAGAAGAACTGACACAGGAAGAACGAGTGTTGCTGTTGCAGTTTGTCACTGGGAGGTGAGTATCCTTTTTAAAAATCGTGGGGAGCTTTGTAGTAGGTATATACAGTATATTACAGAAGTGAGTACACCCCTCATATTTCATAAATATTGAGTATATCTTTTCATCTGACAACACTGAAGAAATGACAATTGGCTACAATGAAAAGCAGTGGGTATACAGCGTGTATAACAGTGTAAATGTGCTGTCCCTTAAGAATAACGCAACACACAGCCATTAATGTCTAAACCGCTCCACTTCCTTTTGAGGAAAGTACTTTCCCCCTCCACTTTCTTGCCAAAAAGCTTCTTTCCCCCGATCCCTCCACCCTCCTTTTTTCCGTGTATAAAACAACCCTCAATTTTTCCTTTAATTATTTTAGGAAAAAGTGTCATTTTATACACGGAAAAATACAGCGAACACTATCAACTAGAAAACAAGATAAGGATCCATCATCCTCTATTTGAGATCTTAGAGGAGTCAACAAGTACATTGATACCAAAAGTTCTTCATGGTAACTCTGGGCTCCAGTTCCGTGTTGCTGTGCAAATGTGATTGGTTCCTGGTGACAGTTCTCAAGGATATATTCTTCCACCTGGCTCATTGTTATTATCTCCATTTTGCCCTCAATGCTACCATTTTCTGAGTTTAAGGTGCCCCCATTCTAGTTAGCCACTACACGAAAGAGCTATATAAATATTTTCAATTCCAGTGGTGGTCTGTTTTCATGTATGAGGCATTACTATTTTTTGAACAATGGTTGCTGGTAGCATACTCAAAAAGATCTGGAGCTCGCCCTTTCCTTCTGCAAAATCTGTCTCCATGTCAGTCCCTGTTTCATCCTGCTTGTATCATACAGTACACAGGGATAGTTCTCAGATTCAAGGTGCAGATATTCTTATCTTTAGCATTTCAAGTGTCTTTTAGCCGTGTCTCTTTCATACCAGCTGACCAATGGCTTCTTAGTTTGATGGTCATCAACAGTCTCAACCAATCCGTTTGCTCACCTTCACTTGTGAGCCCTACAATCCTGGCTGTTGATGTTATAATTGTGGGCTCAATTCCAGTTCAAAACAGCTTGTCATTCCAGAAGTCATCTGTTGTAATCTTGTACAGTGGGGTCTTGACTTGAGAACTTAATCCGTATTGGAAGGCGGTTCTCAAGCCAAAAAGTTCTCAGGTCAAATCTGCATTTCCCATAGGAATGCATTGAAAACCATTTGATCCGTATCTGCTCTTTTCCGTCCATAGAAACTAATGGGAAGCTGCTATTCCGCCTTCGACCACTAGAGGGGGATATTTTGTTTCTTTTTTTCTTAGGTCAAGAAAGGTTCAGGGAAGGCAGGGAAAATACAGTCCAGGCAGTACAGTACCAGGCAGTCCGAAGACTGTCTCCCAATCCACTCTCTAAACACTGGGAGGAGTGAGGAAGCAGACAGGCACCCTTTTCACTGGCCAACAGTTAACTGAAAGTTCAAATTTTGCACTTTCTCTGCCTCCCACGTGGATTTTTTTCAGTTCTTAACTCAAACCTAAGTATGTAAGTCAAGTCAATATTTTCCTATGAGAGCGGTTCTTAAGTCAAAATGTTCTTAACTCAAGTCGTTCTTAAGTCAAGACCCCACTGTATAGTGAACAATAGATGCCAGAATTCATCTGCACAAATGTAAGATGCTTTTGTGTGAGTTTATGGATAACCACTCAAAGTATTGCAGTTACAGGTAATCAACCTGTCCTTTGTAACATTGTGCTGCGTGTGGCCCTATTGTGAACCTCCCAGCACTACTAGTACACCATTTTACTTTTATACTGATTTTCTTTTATTTAAAAACTTATCTTGGGCCTTGTTGCATTGTTTGTAAGGCTTGGAGAACCTCAGTTCCACCCCAAGCTGCTTTTTAAGGTAGAAAGTATTTTGGATACTAGAACATGCAAGGAGAGTTTTTAATTTAAAAACAGCCAAACAACATGTGAATTTATAAATTAGTAAATTAAGTATTTCATGGGGAAAGGATTTATTATTGTTTTGAGGGGAAATACTAATACAAATGATTTTTAAAAGTTTTTTGAAGTTACAACCTTCACATTATGCCGCTAAGTGATGATTTTTTTTTAAAAAAATTGAAAAATAAAATTAAATACCTGTTAGTTTATTTGTTCACACTTCTCCCTTTAAGCCACAGCTCCTTACCGCCTGATCTGCAAATATCAGTACCACTGAGATCACCCATTCCTGATATAATCTCTGTAACACAGAACAAAATCATAACAACATAAGCCTGCTTATAGGTTGCTCAGCCCCTCATGTATGTAGAAGATTGTAAATGAAGAGGGAAAGAGATTTTAAAATACTAGTCAAATCTGAAGCGCCTATCCCTTTTTCTCTCCTCCCCTCTGTCTCTTCTGTTATGAAAGGTTTTTCTATAATTAAGTGCTTTAGTCTTGTGTAAATTAGTCATTCCCCAGTCTCCCGCCAATTCTGTAACATTATTGATCCAAAAGAAGTGAGCTCTGAGAAAAACTCCCTAGAATGATTTTGCCAGAGAGAATAAGGGGGGTGCCTTGCTGTGGGATGTAGCTGCCTCTCAATTCAGTCCTCAGGTGGCTCACAACTGAGAGCAGCTTAAAACACCATATATGAACCCAAATGAAACATTGGAGTGAGGGCTTGTTGGCACACGCAGCCCTCAGGGAAGAAGGACATGAATCCTGCAGTCCCTGACATGGAAGGGGGGGCATGGGGGAACTTACAGCCGTCTGTTGATCTACCCTACCTTTCTTCTGTTACGGAACTGAAGGTAGCAGAATAAGTCTCCCAACCAAGGACTGACCAGGATCAGAGTTTCTCATTCAGTAAATATATAGCTATCATTTTGTGTTTCAGGGATTAAAGTTGCATGTTGAATTTACCCTTGCGGCTATATACTAATGGCTGTTTGTTACACTTGAGGAGAATCAATTACTGTACTTGCCGGAATCATATTGCTGATTTATGCTTGCCTATGGTAAGCTGCATAAGTCTTGGTGGCAAATATCCATTTGTCCCTCATTGAAGAGGTGCCACTTGTGATCTGGGGCACACATGTGATGTAGTCAGGCATTTCCTCGGGAATGCAACCAGCACTTCATGAATGAGTGGTAATTTGCTGCCAGGGCTTTGGGGATTTCCTTTAAACAAAAGTAATTCAGTTAAAGGATTCTGACCATTATGGCTTTATCAGTTAGAAGTGAATTTACAATCTCTTAGTATCTAAAAGCACCTTTATGAACTAGGAGATTCAGAGTTGTCTACAGAGAGGTTAGACTTTCTCTATGTTATGTGTAATTAAAAATGGCGTTTTGTCTTACTTGCAAGTTATTGTTATCATGATCACTTCTGTGTAAAGTATTCTGCTCACCGCTTCTTAGGCTTGCATTTCCATAACCCAGCTGCACTGCTTTTTGAAAGGTACATGTGGCTGTAAGGTACATGGGCTGATAGAGGGCATTGTTTCAGCTTTGAAGGAGTAGGAGCAGTAGCTCCAAGCCCCCCCCCCTTGAAGAAGGTAAGGCTGGTATGTCTGGGCAGATGTTTTGGTGGGAATCTTTTTCTAGGCGGACCTTTATTTTTTTTTCTGAGCACATGGGCTGATAGAGGGCATTGTTTCAGCTTTGAAGGAATAGGAGCAGTAGCTTGCAGAAATCCTTAATTCCATTTTTGACCCCAATTTGGAAAACAGGAAAGCCAATGAGCATTGCGCACACCTGGTGGGAGGAAACTTTTAAAGGGTCAGATCATACTTCTGTGCTATTAGAGATCAGGCCGGGCAGGTGGGGCTCATCAGCCCTGGAAGGCAGCCCATCTAGGAGAAGGAAAACTCTGATTTCAAACCTCCACTGCCTTGTGGCTATATCCACTGATGGAAAAGGCTTCAGGAGTCAACCTCGAGGAAAAATCCGGAGCTGGAGTCCCGGAGGTAATTCGTGCTGTTCTGCCA